TCAAAAACTATTCAATATTGGACTCATTTCGAAGGTATTGACGAGACGATTATAATGGTGTAACTTGTTAAAATAAAAATGTATTCCTTAAATATGTTTTAATTGATATACGATTATGTATGTTAATTTGATAAAGGTTTAAAATGCAACATTTAAAAGTAAATGACGTAAAATAAATAAATTAATTAATTATAGGGATATAAAGTATAAATTTAAAATTACAATTTTAAAAAAATCGGTTGTGAGAGGGTAAATGTATGTGAGGAGAGAGGAGGGAGTGAAAAAATGAAAAAGTAAGTATAAAGGGTATTTTGGTCATTTAGAAATTTAAGACTTTAAGACTTTTACTAAATTTGCTTAATAAGATAGTATAGATATATTTTTAGTTTTTTTTAATGTATTTTAAAATATTTTGTATTAGAGCATCGTACTTTCAAAAATTTACCCATTATAGCACTGAATAACCTTTTAAATTAAATTTATTCATTTATCAGGTTTTTTTGCCACCTCATCGTCTATGTAGGCTGTCCACGTTTACGATAGTGGTGACATAACATTTCTTATTATAGCATTGCACTTTCAAATTTACTTTGTTATAATGTCACCAATTTCTATTACAACAATGCACTTTTAATTTTAATATTTTTATCATTTAAACATTGTAAATTTAATAAAATATTGTTTACTAAAAATTATAGTATCAGAAATTAAAACATGTTTACAAAAGATCACTATTTCACGAATAAAAATATTCATAAAAAATGATGTATGAATTGTACACAGGTTCAACTACGCTTTTGGAGCAAAGCCGTAAGCCAACAATCCCTAGGGATAAAATCCTTGTGGGAGTTTAAGAGGTATGGTTGTATAAAAGGACCAACGATCAGATAATTCTTGACTTACTGTTACACAAATTCCTGAAAAAGGAAAAACACACTCAGAAAATTTAAATTTTATTCCTTCGATTAATATTTTCTCACTTTAAACGAACCGATTAGGTGTCCGTGCGTTATTGCTCCAAAAACAAGCTATTGTTTTGTTTATTGGATAAATCCAAACATACAGTGCAATAGTCTAACATTACTTACAAAAAGTCAAAATAGAAGATTTGCTAATCGCTGATCGAAATGGATTATGGCAATTAGCAATGATTTTATGATGGACTTCGATGAGTCAATGGTTTTTATGTTTGGTACAACAGCAAAATGCTATCTATTCTAGTTTTTAGCAGATAACCTTAAATTGGGAGTTTTTATAAAATAAAACTGTATTTAACCATCTCACATCCATAACCAGACCCCTACCTTCTGTAACTGCTTTTAAGCGACTTATTGTATTCAAATAAGTTGGAAACTCGTATGTGGTTATTAAAAAAGCCCTTCAGTCTAAAAAAAATCTAAAAAACTGTATAAAAAATAAAATGTAAGAGATGACACATGATTGAATTCAATGCAAAATTATTCACATTAACAAGCAATAAATTCACAGTCAAAGAGATTACAATCTTCAATTATTTATTTTGGTTGATTTTAATTATATTATATTATTAACATATAGAAATGGGTAAAATTTAAAAGATTAGCTAAAAATATTTGAAATTGATAGAATGAGAATGAGATATAAGTGTTCGATTGGTTTGAGTTTAGCTTTCAAAGATCAAAAGTGCCTAGAGGTCCTATGTTTGAATCCAAGGAGGAATAAAAATCATTTTGTGGTCACGAAGGTTCAAATGCGGTGACTCCGAGCTACCTGTGAAAGGGGTGGTCGCTCTGGGATTAGTCGGCTTACATAGCAGGTTAGATATCCAGGTTAATAAAAAAAAATAATAATAATGAGGATGTAACTAAAAGTGTATTTAAATACTTGCAATTTCTGAAATTATTTTAGGGTAAATTGCATGAAAAAGTAATATGTACTTTAACTTGATTTTTATTTTGGGTAATGTACTTTCAAATCTTTTATTTTGGTACATAAGATGTAAAGTTTTGAACATTTAAATACCTGAGTAACTGATTGAAGCATTAACCGGTTACCATGCTGATATGGCGAGTGATGAAATAAAATTGGGCTGAATAGCAAAAATACTGAGTTGGAGACTACATCAGCATGGTAACCGGTTAATGCTTCAACCTGTTATCCGAGTACTGAAATGTTTAAAACTTTACATCGTATATATCAAAATAAAAGTTTTGAAAATATGTTACCCAAAATAAGAATCAAGTTAAAATGTGTTAACTTTTCATGCAATTTGTCCATTATTTTATTAAAAAAAGTATTTAATTGTTTTAATATATGGTTTTTGACTTTTTTAACCATATTATTACTCTAATTATCTACAAAAAAAATAAAATAATATATAAAAACATCAATTCGACCCGACCCGTACTGAAAATCACCTATTTGACTATGTTTTGACATAAATACTTAATATATCCATTTTGCCACAACGATAATTGTAAGTTGAAAAAGTTTTTACTTCTTTACGAGTGATGACCTCACCCAAGGGTCGACCTTTTTTTATAAACCACTTATTATAACGTATTTTTAACATAATATTGAAAGTATTATTAATTATTAGAAGAATATACCTAATAAGATATGAATACGATATCGATGACCAATGTCATGAAAAAACAAGAGAAAAACCCTTGTACTACATATGCTCAGTTATCACCGTGTGGGAACAGAAAGTTTAGATTACATAAACACTCGTCTCGAAATTGACTTACTAAACACGTGCATATCGTTAACACCTAATCAGTTAAGTAACCTAAATAGAATTTTTTAAGAACATTATTGTAACCGAACAGTTATCTACTTATTAATGTCATTTTTATATCATAAAGAATAAGTCGAAAACTTGTAAATAATAAGTCTGTAATATCTAAGTATTTTTTTCTAAACGGTGACATAATTTGACTATAAAAAATTATCTCCTTTTTTGTTTACAATATTAGTATAAATATGTTGGTTGGTTTCTCACCCTTATATAAAAGAGACGCATATATTTTAAAAAACACAAAAGGTATATAAAAGACACCAAAATTTAAGCTCACAAACAACAAATTTAACGATAATGGGATTCGAACCCAGACATGTTGACATCCAACAAAACAATACAGTGACACCCTTTCCATCTCGGTCATCAAAGTCTTGTGTTAACATGTCAGTTTCGAAAACTATATGTCGAAACTGACATGTTGACATCCAACAAAACAATACATTGACACCCTTCAGAATCGTAATTTTCCTCCAATAACGAAACCATGAAGTAGTTGGCACGCACCACCGATCATTCTATGCAGGTCTGCCTCTGGAACAGTCCAATTTGGTCCCAAGATGAACGATGGCGGCTGACAGCTAGCTTAACACATACAGGTGGGACGGAAAGTGGTATTTTTTTGTGCGATATGAGTAACGCGTAAGAACCTGCCATTATTGTCGAAATACAATTGTTATTACCAATTTTGACCCACATCCCACTTGGTCAAAAAAACCATAATTAAGCTTTTAATGCTTGGACCGTTGAACATCATTTCTCCATATGATCATTGAGTGCATACACACACACACACACACACACACACACATATATATATATATATATATATATATATAACAATCTCATCAGAAACTTCTGCTTCATTTCCCACCAAATATGCACTTTAAATACATCATCACTCACCATCTTCATTACATTCCTTCTCACATATGTTTTGAGTGAGGATTGTGAACCCCTTATGAACTCATCTCTTGCAGGCTGATTTGAAAGTTATTGTTCAAAGGGATTCTCAAGTGGGAATCAAAGCCTATTCGAGTTTCTTTCGACTGCAAACAAATCGAGGCCAGATCGAGTCTTTGAAAGACTGGAATAGATACGATCTTTATGTTAAGACAATGATTAAGATGAAGATACACAAGCTCGGCAAGAATGGTGGCAAAGGGATGTATTATAAGTACATAGTTGTTCTGGAGATTCTGATTAAAACAATATTGCATCGTTGCTTGTTATACCGGTTGCACGATAACATTGGAGAAGTTAAAAAGTGGGAGACGGAGACGGAGACGGTACCTGGACACTTTGCGGTTATTGCGGTCAAGTGCAAGAAACCGGAGAGGTTTATGGTTGAGTTAGGATGCTTAACGAATCCCGGTTTCTTGAGACTATTAAACAAAGCGGGAGAAGAATACGGGTTCAAACACGAAGGTGCCATCACAATCCCGTGTGGACCTCGCGAATTGCAGCTCGTTTTACAGGAAATGCATGAGAAGTAGTTAACGATAGTTTAGAGATCAAGATTTCAAATCGCACCATTTTGTAGTGTTTTCAAGGATTTAATGTCAAATATCGACGTATTAAGCTCTTTGTTGTCTTCATTGTGTAGGGCTGTTCGATTAGTTTTCTATTAAGTTATGTATGAATAAAGTTGTTTGTGTTGATTAATTTGTCCGTATAGATTAAAAAGGTTTCTGTTTAGAGGGTTAACTGACCGAATAAGTTGCGAGTCTCCTTCGTTGATTCCTCGCTCGTTTGTTGGCCGATTCTCAACGAATCATATAGGTTTTTATCTGGGTGAAGGGGCATAACATAGTTTTTCGATCGATTGGTGTGCAAACGAAGGCCAATGACGGCATTAAAACTACTGCTGCTGAATAGGGAAGGAAAGCCATCCACGATGAAATTTCAAATCTCTTGTGAAAATGGCAAAACAGGTCCCAAAAGTTTCACTTTGCCCCCTTAACTTTCCACTGTCATTCTTTCTCGGCCCGAAATAAAATTACAAATACAATACTTCAACGGTCGAAAATCGCAACTTTTTACAAGTTTGGTCCTATTACTTTGAAGTAAAAATAGGAGAATGTAAATGGCACCTCTTATGCCTAATGATTTTAAACTTGAATCCTCCTTAAAATATATATATATATATATATATATATATATATATATATAATATCAAAATCAATCAAGTAAATAAT